CCATTCCAGCTGCTGCAGCCCAGAAGTGTGACCTGCTGATGCTGCTGGTGCCTCCTGCCTCTGGAGCAAAGGCTTTGTGACTCTGCTGCTGCTCCCAGCACTTCCAGGAGCTGTCCTTGCCCTGGCTCTGAATCCCCTCCTCCATGCAGACAGGCAAGGCTTTGGTAGGATTTTATTCACCTTCATTGGGGCAGCTGAGACTGGAGGTGTTGAAAAGGGTTGTTTTAATAGCAAATCCTGATGAAGTGGTGACGGAGGAGTGAATGAACCCCTCTCCTGTGTGGAATTGCCAACCCCCAGCCTGTCTCCCTTCAGGGGGTGCTGGGGACAGTTGGTTAAACGGGGGATGTGTCTGAGCTGGGACCAGGGTGCTGAGGGGCACATGTGGCTCCAAGTGACGGTTTTCCTGCAGGGCTCAGCCTTGGGACGTGGCTGAAATGCACATTACAAGATTTACGTCTCTTTTCTGAGTCACACATCTGCTCTATTTATATTTTAGTTGTTACTTGGAGCAATTTACAAAAGGGATTCCCAGCTCAGTTGCTGCTATTCATTGCAGTGTTTACATCAAACCAGGCCTTGTGTTTTTTGCCTCCTGTTTGCATCAGCTCCTGTCTTTCCCAGCACTCCAGACTTTGCCTTCATCCATGTGGAGCATCCCAAACCCTGTGGGGGATGGAAGGGGCTGTACTGGGTGGGATGGTTGGGGACAGTGGCCACAGTCCCCAGCCAAAGAGCTGTTGGTGGGTTTGGGCCATTTTCCTTTCAGCTGCTTTTCCACAGAAGTCTTTCAGTCCTGTGGGGTCCTTCTCTGACATCCCAAGAGGAGAGGTTGGCTCTCAGCTGGCTCCTGTCAGCTGCAGCTGCTGTGGATCCCCTGCACCCCCAGGGTACCCCGGGTGTCCCAGCCCTGGGGTGGGGGTTCCTGCCCTGCACAGCTCAGGGGTGCCACATTCCCTGTTCTTCACTTCTTTCTTCTGGCAAGATTCACGTGCTGACCTCAGGCCAGGGGCACTTAAAGAGCCCCAGCACAAGGATACTTATCAGGGCAGGGAAGTCAGGGCAGACAGGCACAGAAGTCCCATGGAGCTTTCTGGAGAGGAGAGGAAAAGCAAAGGCACTTGTGTTGTAACTGGGGAGAAAGAGGGGGAGACTGTTTATCACATGTGGATCATTTCCTCCTGTTGGGAATAGCATCAGATCAGTATTTGTGTCCTGGAAGGCTGAGTTATCTGTGAGCTGATCAGAAGTTTGATACAAGACTCCTTAAGCTCTCAATCTGCTCTCCCAATCTGGTGCTTTACAAGGAACATTTTGGAGAGGACTTTTCCAGTAATGCATTAAATCAGAAATGTTTCTGAGACAGAGTGAAGAGAGAATCCTTCTGCTCTGAGCCTCTCTGTCCACCTCCCATGCACACATTGGGTTCATGCCATGGTGCTGATATTTCACTTGCTGAGCTGCTCAGCATATGAAATTCAAGAGCACTTTGGATTCTCCCTGGTGAGGTAAAATAGTACTGCAGAAGCCTTAAGAAATTCTGTGAGACCTCTGACATCTTGTCAGGAAGCCACAGGGACAGATGGGTCTTGGAAATTTTTAATAGGCTTCAGCCATCATTATTCCTTGGAAATGCATCCACTTTAAGGGCTTTTTTCTGATTTCTTTTTGCACAATTTAGATGGAAAAGCAGTGGAACGTGACTCTTCCGTTGGATATACACGAAATCGATATTCAGGGACCTGGATTTTTGACCATGCATTGAGATACACGTCCGGTATGTGATGGAAGGGTGTGAAAGTCTAACCAGGGCTCAGGGAGCAAAGGAAGCTCTGGAAGCAATGGGTGCATTGCCCAGATTCCAGGTGCAAGGCTCAGGAAAAGCCTGGCCCACCCGAGTGCACCAACTAACCCCAAACCTTCCCCACCTGCATGACACACCCTGAGTGACAAGGACCTCACTGCTGGTGTCCAAGGCCACCTGGGCATGTTCTCTGCAAGGCCTTAACACACAGTGATGTCCTTCTTCCTCCTCTTCACCTTTCCTCCCCTCTAACAACCCATTTTTTTTTGCAAGTCACCCCTCCTTTCTCTAACATAAGGGCCTGTGGTGAGCTGAGCACACAGCTGTGGCTGCTGAGCTGTGTCTCTGCCTCAGGTCTGTAACACAGCTCCCTCACACCCTCCCCAAGTCCCTGTGCTCCTGGGCCACTGCTCTACCACCTGTGGGAAGAGGGTGAGTGCAGGTGTCCCCCCTCAAAGTTGAATCCAGCCTTCCCTGGGTTCCACTTGACACCTAGCAACTCCAGGACACCTGCACAGAAGCCCTGGCCTGGCACACATGGTCCCTCAGCTCCTGCCCCTGGTGTCCAGCACAGCCCCTGCATGAGGGCTGCAGCCCCTGCTTGGGTTCACAGTGCAGAGGGAAGGCACTGCACAGTTACCTGCACAGCTGATCTTCTTGGAGAGCTGCACAGTGCATTTCTGTGCCATAGACTGTCTCCAGAGGAAGTAGGAAATACAATAAAAATGGAAAAGAAAATTCAGCCTAGAGCCCCTCACTGTGTTTGACCTGTTTGCACCAACTCACAGAATCACAATGCTTTGGGCTGGAAGGGACCTGCCATGGGAGGGACACCTCCCACTGTCCCAGGTGCTCCCAGCCCTGCCCAGCCTGGCCTTGGGCACTGCCAGGGATCCAGGGGCGGCCACAGCTGCTCTGGGCACCCTGTGCCAGGGCCTGCCCACCCTCACAGGGAACAATTTCCAATTCCCAATATCCCATCCAGCCCTGCCCTCTGGCAGTGGGAGCCATTCCCTGTGTCCTGTCCCTCCATCCCTTGTCCCCAGTCCCTCTCCAGCTCTCCTGGAGCCCCTTCAGGCCCTGGCAGGGGCTCTGAGGGCTCCAGCCCAGTGATTAACTCAGTGGCCTCCTCTGGAGCCATTCCCACTCTTCCCAGTGCTCCATGTGCAGCCAGCACTGCTGGGATGTGAGTGGGCATCAGTGACATCCTGCTGTTGGTTCAGCTGAACCTCAGCTGTGCTCAGGGCTCCTGTTTGCAGGGCCCAGGGCATGGTGAGTGCTCTCATCTGCTGCTTTGGGGATCCAGCTCCAAGAGTTTCATAAGAGAATTGTGGAGGTTGGTGGTGAAAAGAATCAGTCCTTGAGCATGGGAGTGAGTGAGGGCTGGCAGACGCTGCTGACCTGCTGACAGCCCAGGTTTCACCAGGCAGCCTGTGAGGAGTGACCACAGGTGGTGACTGTCCCACAGCTGATATCTTTATAAAATACAGTGAGCTGTGATAATAAAAATGCTCTGGAGCAGATCAGATACAGCCAAGTGCCTGTGCTATCAGAGTATGGGAGCATTTTTTCAGCTGGGTACTCCGGTGTATCGGACTGTGACGAGTGGCCTCTTTCAGCATCAGTGACAAAGGAGCCTCCCCAGCCCAGGACACAGCCCCAGGTGGTGCTATCAGTGATGGGCAGGGAGTCAGGGCTCTGACACTCTCAGGGGGGTGTTTTCTTCCCAAAATGTAAGAATGGGACATGGGAAGGGGAAAAAGGACAATGAGCATTGTGTGTTCAGACAGCATCCTGGCTAGTTCCTGGCTAGAGCTCACTTTGAGTAGCTCCAGGTGAGTATTGCTGTGAAATGCATTTGGGAATGTTTATCTGGGTGTGTGTCAATGGTTTTGTTCTTGTTTGGGGCTCCTCCCTGAGTTTTGCTGTTTGGCATGGTCAGGAAAAGATTGTTTCAAGGTCGTGTGAGGAATAGTGCATGGAAATGAAATTCTGCATTCATACCAAATTAATTCAGCCCTTTTTTCTCCCACCTCCTCTTCAGTCAAGTGATGCTCTCACCCTCTCCAAAGAGCACCAAGGGGATCCCAGTCCCACAGCTCTGGTGGATGGTTAAGAAATGCAGTGCATTCTGCAAATAAGAGCCTGGAAAGTGAATTTATAGACTGTGCAGCAAAGTCCAGTAGGAAAAAAAAGAGATTGAATCAACTCAAGTAACAAATCTAAGGAAATTTCTGTCTGCCTGTTCAATAACAAAAGAGTCTAAATTCATGGCATAACTTCATCATTACAAATGGTTCTCCCAGCTCTTTTCCTCTGGTTTCGTTTCAAATGACTGTTTGCAGATGTGTGTTTTCTGGAATTAGAGACACAAATTGAGAAGAGGGACTACTGTGGTCATGTGCTTTTCCTTAAAAAGGGCAAAAGTTCTATTTGTATCTATTTGGTTTCCTCAGGGTGGATATTTACCAAATCTCTGTGGGTTTCTTGGGAAATTTGTACATTGTGCATTTCTTGAGAAATTTTGAAAACTCCAGGCCTCATGATAACATATTGCCTTCTTTTTTCAGTTGAAAAGGATTTTTTCCCAGCTACTAGGAACTTACTGAAAAGTAATTCAAGGTTATTTCTGTCCATAGGAAACATTAGTCATTATTATAAAATTATAAGTCAGGCTATTTTGAGAGGGGCCCTTTCACGTTAGCAAAGTTAAAAAGATACACTGAAAATGTAAGTTCAGGGTAATATGCCAAGGAATCTTAAATAAGGCTGACAGACAGAATAGTGTCTGGGAGAGTGATTTCCTGCATTTATCTCCATGAACAGTCCAAAAATGACTTTGCTGTCAAGTGCACCCTTTTGCTCGCAGTTTATGGACCAGTGTGCAGGGAGGCTGTTTTCCCTGATCTCTCATGGTGATGTGTGCTTCTCTCTCTTGTTTTTCAGGGTCTTACGAGTGTGGAATATGTGGGAAGAAGTACAAGTATTACAACTGTTTCCAGACCCACGTGCGAGCACACAGAGGTATCTCAGTCCTGCTGCAATCTCGGGAATCCTGGGATAATGCAGGTTGAGGGGATGGTCAGGCTGGAGCTCAGGGCAAGGCTCTGCCCCCAGAGGGTGCTGGCACTGCCCAGGCTGCCCAGGGAATGGGCACGGCCCCGAGGCTGCCAGAGCTCCAGGAGCCTTTGGGCAGCGCTGCCAGGGGTGCCCAGGGTGGGGTCTGGGCAGGGACAGGGGCTCGACACCTGGATGGTCCTGGAGGGTCCCCTCCAGGATATTCTGTGTTTTTAGGTCTATTTTCAGGAAGGTCCTGAAGGTTGCTCTGGTGCTTCCCTGGTCACCAGTAATTCTTCTCTGGGCTTCCCACTGAGAGGGGCCCAGTGATAAACGTTGGGGCTGTCTCAGCTTTGTGGCTCTTAACTCCAGCAATATTTCTCCCCAGGTCAGGAGCAGCTCCTGTGTTCAGGGCAGTATTTACTGCCCAGGGCTGTTGAGGGGCATCTCTGTGTGCTCAGATCACAGAGTTTTGCTTGGCAGGTCCCAGTGCCAGCAGTGTGGTGGCATCTCCCTGAGGTGCTCTGTGCTCCTGCCCAGATGGGAGTTCCATCCAGCCCTGAGAAGTCAGCCTGGTAGGATATAAATCAGATATGGGCATTGTGACTGCTGTATTTTTATGTTCAAATCAAAATGCTCCTTGAGCTGCCCCTGTGCCCCTGCTGTCAGCTGAGGTCACTTCCCAAATGCACTGTGTGTGTGAAAGGTCTCGTGCTTGGTCAGGAGTGGCTTGATCTGGGGTTTCTGTAAGACTGAGCAATCCAATGTTGCTTAATTGCAGAAATGTGAAAGTTTGAGGTGGTTTATTCAATCAAAGTGTAGTTTGCAGGATTTGGAGCTCTGAAATACCAGAACAGCAGGGACTGCAAACCAGCTTCTCCTGAGCCTTTCTCTGGGTTTGTCTCCTGTCCCTGAGGTGAGCACTGGAGTCATTGTGCCAGGCTGGCAGGAGCACCTGCTTTAGCTCCTCAGGTGTAACCAGTGGTTGAAAATCCAGGAATAATGAAGGCTAATATCAAGTTTTAAATGCTCAAACTCTCAAAAGTCAGCACATGCACAGCTGAGAAGTGTTCAGAGTTTGTCACAGTCTCATAACACATCCTTAATTGCATGGCTGCATATTCCTTGTGTGCTGTTTAATATCACAGAGCTGCTTCTGTACTTCAGGATACACAGAATTGTTTTTCCATGCTGATATTTCTTTTCCAAATACCAGCAAAATTCCTTAAAGTCCTTTAAATGTAGCTTCAAGTAGCTTCACTCTGAGGCTTAAGGAAAAAAACCTAAAATAACAGGGATATGCTTCACCATTACATCACAGCATTGCAACAATTTTGCAATAATAATTGTAGTATTTAAATGTGGGACAAGGGTTGCTTTTATTTTACTTCTCTTCCCCAAGCACCATGGGATCTTTAATTCAGCTGGAATTTTAGGAACTCTGTTAGTATGATGTCACCTCCTAGTGTGTGATCTAATTAATTTGTATTCATTTATATTTTGATAATAAAATTAAGCAATATATTAAATTATATGGGTGCATCATCATAGACCTGTACATTTGATATCCATAGTTTTGACATGAACTCAGTGGAGACATGACTTTACCTTTTGCTTCCAAGGTCTTTGTCATGTGTAGTTGCAGAAGATGAAAATTTTCAGAATTCTGAATGTGGAAATTTATCACTAATTCTCACATCAGTGATGGAGAAGCAGAATTTATATCTGTGATACTCAGAAAGTGTTGGTTTATGTTACTGTAAGTGGATTCATGTAGTAGTTACATTTAAAGTGCATTCAAATTGCTTTAAGACAATAAAAATACAAATTAGTTATTTGTTCATCTACACTCTTCAGCAAGGAAGGAAACTGCAAACATGATGCAGCTCTGGCAGTGGGGAGCTGAGGCAGTGGGCAGAGTGTGCCTGGCTGCAGAGGAATAACCTGCAGTGAAAGGTTAAGGATGGGTAGGAAAAAAGAAGGAAGGATTTTTTAGAGGGAAGCCCTGTGTGGTATTATCCAGTGTGAGCTGTGCATGGAGTGGACCAGGAATGGTGCTGGGATGGCAGAAGACTGCGGGAGTGAAGGGGATTTTTGTGAAAGATGCTTTTATTGCCCCAAAGCTTCACAGAGGAGAAGGGGCTGGTGCTGCCCCAGGGGACAAACGTGGGATAACATGGTGGGATGGCTGCACTGAGGGTGTACCCTGCACGTTGCTGTTCTCCAGTGATCTCCAGTCTGTGTCTCAGATCCAGTGCCAGGGCACTGGCAGCCAGCTCTCCCAGGGCTGCTTTCCTCGAAGCACTGCAATGTGAGCTCCCTTGGCCCAGCCCGTGCAGTTCTCAGCTGCCAGAAACTCCAGTCCTGAATCTTTCAGTCATTTCTTTCTGGCTGGGCAGAAAGGGGGGAGCTGGACTGCAGTGGCAGAACCTGGATTCCCTCTTGGCAGGATGGTGCCAGCCATGGTTTTCCCAAGGTCTGGCCACCCGTCAGTCACGTAACATCTTTCCCAATCCTGGGAGACTCCCCAGCTCAGCATCAGAGGAGCTAGAACAAACTGAGGCTCCTTTCTTCTCTTTAGGTTTTTTGGCCATTCCAGCAGCAATAGCTGCTGTTAGTGATTTGCTGAAGGATACACCCCAACCCCTCTGCTCTCTGCTTGTCTGTGTGGTTCCTGTGTCACTAATGGGCCCTGGGGTGGTGCTGCAGGTGACAGAGCAGGAGACAGAAAAGGCTCAGGCCAGGAGAGAGCAGAGAAACTGGTGTTGATCTGCTTTGGACCTTTGTGGCAGAACAAAACATTTGTGTCATCAGCCTGTCTGTCACCACTCAGTGCCACAAAATGCAACATTTGGGGGCCTCTAGTTGTCCTTGCTTTGATCTGGGTTATTTCTGAGCTGTTTTTTGTGTCCAGGGCCCACCTGAGCCTTACAGCAGGGGGAAGGTCTGTCACCCTCTCTGCTCGTGCAGTCAATCTGTCCTTATCCATTGCTTGTTTTGCCCTGTGCAGAACTTGCTGTCTTTCTCATACTTTGAGCTGTTCAGTTCCACATGAAGAGTTTCGCCCTGGCAACATCACATTCTTCTTTGCAATGAGCATTTTTTTGAGAAATTTTCTGGATTTTTTTATAGCTGCACCTGCCTCCACTCCAGCTCCCTGTGGCAGACAAGCTGCGTTGGAGGTGACCCGTGTTCTTGAGGCTGATTTCTTTTCTTGTCTGCCTTCAGAAGCAGGGGAGTTTATGTTATAAAACAGAGCATTTTCTTTGTTTATTGAGCCTTCCCTGTGGTGCTGAGCATTGGCTGGAGAATTCAGGCAGCGAGTGCTCTGGCAGTTTGCAGAATTCTGAGGCAGCTCTGCTTCAGGACGTGCTGCCCTGCAGGAACAAGTTCCCATTCTGCATTCCCCCAAAAGCCGAGATCCAGGCACGGAAATCCCTGTGTAAGGGTTCTGCAAAGAACCAGAAATGTAGGTAAGAAACTTCCCCGCTATGTTTCACCGAGGAACAAAGGAAAAGGTTGTGTTCCTTCCCCTTTGCCTCCCCAAAACTCACAAATGAAATAAAGAAGGAACCCAACAAAAAAGTTATGTCGTGGAGCTGAAAGGCTCCTTTGTGAGCTGCTGTGCAGCCCTGCAGGATCCCGGCTCCTTCTGCTGCTGGAGTTCAGCTGGAGCGGAGGGGCCGCGCGTTCCCGGTGCCGATGGAAGGCTCTGTCCCAAATGTTACTGCTTCGCCTACACGCAACCCAGGGCTTCAAAATGTTTTGCTTACGGTGCTTTTATTTTAGCTGTGTGGGGTTTTTCAGGTCATTAAAAGGTTTGGATTGCCTTCAGGAGTTAGTCAGCTAGAAAGTTCTGCTTTGTACAGTTGGGTGGTGTTTAAGCAACATGAGCAGCAAAGCATCTGCATGTTTTGAGTCAGGAAAATTATTTCACTTTTAGATAACTACCAAAAAAAAAAAAAAGGCTGAAATTGCTTTATTAGACTTTCAAGCAGCAAATTTATAAACCTCTGGGCTGAGGCCAAGCAAGGGAGATTTGTACCCAAAGGAGAATTCTTCCAAAAGCAAAGAAAGAAAAGAGCAAGGCTCAAGTTTAACCCTCGCAGGATATATCGCCTCTAACCCAAGAATTGGTGGAAGTTCTCCGTTTCCAGATAAGCTTTTCTGGGCTGACTGATGATTTTGCTCAAGTTGTTTTCCATTATTACTTATTTACATTATAAGTTGTTGCATTGCCTCCCTCCAAGCCCCTCAGCTCTCCATGTCCTCCCCACAGGGCTGTGCCAGCCGAGGGCTGAGCTGCCCTCACCAGAACAGATCCTGGATGCTCTGAGCAGGGCTGGATTCTTCAGGCCAAGTTTTGAGTTTCACCAGTTAAAAAACTTCTCAAAGCTTTTCAAGTTTCAGATTAATGTTTTCCAAGAATGGGTTCTGCTCAATTCAAAAAATATGAAAAGGAAGATGACTCATTCAAATGGTGAATATGGAAAAACGCTTTTTTCCAAAGCGCACATTTTTTGGAGTCTGAGTTAAAGTGGTTCTGTCACTGAAAGGATTTTGAGGTGAGGACTAGAAAACTAGTAGAGGAGAGATGGTGTTCCTGAGCCATGGAAAGTTGAGGTTCATTTGTTTATTTGTTGCTGAGAATATCAGATTATTTTGGGGAGGTTTTTTGCCCTCTGCCCTGCATCCCAAGAGCCATTTTCCTGTGCACATTTCCCAATCTGCAGCAGATACTCAAATGAAATGAAGAAAGCTTCTTGGGACAGAGGAGTTAACTGGCCCATTTTCCAGCTTCCCTTCCCACCTCCCTATTCTTACTGACTTTTGCAACTTTCTCAGAAATTTGTCTTTTGTTTCACAACTGGAATTACTTGGTCTGACCTCAAAGGTGATATAGAGTGGGCTGTAAGGGGATTTTTAGTTGGTAATTTTTAAATTCATGAATACTTTAGTCTATCTATGACTAAGAGTAACAACATTTCTTGACACAGTTCAGAAATGGCTGTTCCTCACATTTTGTGTCTTGCCTGATTCTTGTTAAATTTGACTAAAGTACTTTTTAAAGCTATTTAAATAGTGCATATCTTTTATGATTTGTCCTGGTGTTGCTTGTGAACGCCAGGACAGCATTTTGCATAAATCTACTGTGCCATAGCTGCTTTTCCTTGAATGGTGGGTGAGAATTCAAACAAGTAGCAACTGTGGAAAAATCCTGGGCTTTGCTCTCGAGGTTCTGCAGTATCACTGAGGGTTTCTGATCTGGCCTCTGAGTTTATGAAGTCGTGCCAAATTAATACCATTGCCTAGAAGAATGATCTAATCAGGCAAGTTAATCAAGTAGAAATGTACAAATTCACAAACTCACAATCATTTGTTTTTATTGTTTTGAAGAAATAAGGAAATTAAATGCAAACAGTGCTCATTACTTAAGGTTGAAAATTTTAAATTCAAAAATGCTGTGCCATTCTGCAGCTGTGGTTTCCAGTGCAGAGCAAGCATCATTCCAACAGACATATGGAATATTTTGCAACGCAGTTATTAGATAATGTGACATACAGTATATGTAATTTAGGATGAATATGAAACACTTCAAACTGGCTTGGAAATCCTAATTGTTTATTATACTTGACTTGTAACTTTGGGGTTTGTTTTCCAGCTCGCAGCTTTGCCTGTTGCATTCATTTAGGGCTTGAACATGATCTCTGCTGCGTGCTTCTTGCAGTCCCACACACGACAGTGGAGGGAGCTTTCTCTCCCTTCTTTTCCCATCTGCCTTCAGCAATAGAATCTTCAGGATAGAATCAGCCTGCCTTCAGGATAGAATTACCCTGGGGGAATTCTTGTGGCCCATCTCTCGTGGAGGCTTTGCCATCACTGCCTGTGGAGGGCAGGCACGGTGGTGGAGCCGGCTGTGCCAAATCCAACGGGAGCTGAGCCGGGGGCACTGTCCACTGTTCGCTTTCCTGGTTCACAGCACTTGCCTGTTAAAAAATTGTGTCCAGAGGAGGCCACGGAGCTGCTCCAGGGCTGGAGCCAGGCTGGGAGAGCTGGGGGTGCTCACCTGGAGAGGAGAAGCTCCAGGGAGAGCTCAGAGCCCCTGCCAGGGCCTGAAGGGGCTCCAGGAGAGCTGGAGAGGGACTGAGGACAAGGGATGGAGGGACAGGACACAGGGAATGGTTCCCACTGCCAGAGGGCAGAGCTGGATGGGATATTGGGAATTGGGAATTGTTCCCTGGCAGGGTGGGCAGGCCCAGAGCAGCTGTGGCTGCCCCTGGATCCCTGGCAGTGCCCAAGGCCAGGCTGGACACTGGGGCTTGGAGCAGCATGGGACAGTGGAAGGTGCCCCTGCCCATGGCAGGGGTGGAACGAGATGGGCTTTAATGTCCCTTCCAGCCCAGAGCATTATATGACCACGAGCCCTTGTTGGCCATGTCTGCCCTCGCGGTCCCGGTGAGCCCCTCAGGGCCCGCTCCGTCCCGTGAGGGGCCGGGCAGAGCGGCGGAGCGGAGAGCGATGGAGCGAGCGGGGCGGCGGTGGGGGCCGGGCAGCGCGGCCGGCGGAACTAAGCGCTGCTTTTTCTTTTTGCAGACACCGAAGCTGCCTCAGGGGAAGGAGCCTCACAAGGCAGTAAGTACAGCGGGGCGCGGGTGGGCCGGGCGAGGGTCCCACTCCCCGAGGGCCCCGCGGGGCCGGGGCTGCGGCGGGGCCGTACCGCAGGCGGCCGGCAGGGGGCGGCGCCGCCGCGGAGATGGTGGCGCTGGGAGGCGGCGGGGCAGAGCGGGCGGGCACGGCGGGGCTGCGGGCACGGCTCAGGGTCTCTCACGGCACGGCGGGGCCGCTCCTCACGGCCTGGGGGTCTGTCAGGCACGGGAGCGCCCCTCACGGCCCAGCTCAGACGGTTGTCGCTGTGCCGCCCGCGAGGGGGGCGCGGTGCCCCGGGAGCTGCCCGGTGAGCGCTGTGAGGGGACCATGAGCGGAGCTCCCTCTGCCTCCTTTGCCGGGGAGGGCAGGGCACCGCCAGCCTCTAGCGGCGTCCAGCCCTGTATGGTTCTTAAACCCTAAACCTGCAGTTTGGGGTGTGTGCCCCAGTCCCGGGGAGGGAGAGCCAGAGCCGGCCCAAGACTGAAAGGGCCGGGGCAGAGGTGGCACCAGAGGGAGCTGGGACACGCTCATGGCCGCCGTGAGGGGTGGGATGGTGGAGCCGGGCAGATCCCGATGACAGGAGAACTGAGAGATAGTGGGCATGAATGGAGAGAAGAGAGGTTGGAGCTGTTTGGGTAAAGTCCCAGGTAACCAGGACTGAGCTTGGAGCAGACTCAGCTTTGAGCAGGAGGTCACACCAGAGATCTCCCGAGGCCTCTGCCCACCGGGGTTTTGCTATGTGTTAGGTGAGAGCCATGGTTCCCACTGGAAAGGTAAGTTCCCAGCATTGGTGGTTGCAGACAGCAGCTTGGAAGCACCAAACTTACATTGGGTGGGTACAGAAATGTTAGATAAATAGTAAAGAAAAATAAAAAGTACAACCAGACTACCTTTTCTGAACTCTTTCTTCACTGTATTCTGTGATAGGTGAACAATTGGCATTAGCGTAGGGGGGTCTTGGCTTTCTGTCTGCAAAAGGAAGCAGGACTGACTTCACTGCAGGTGGGGAATGGAGATCCTCAGCCCTGAGCTGAAACATCTCAGTAGCAAGCAGCCATCCCACATCAGTGTGTACACATAGTGTACTGCTCACAGGGGAGGCTGGGCTCTGCAGCTGAGCCATTCCCTTGACAGAGTCCAGCTCTGTGCATGGAAACTCCTTCCCAGGCTCCTGTCACCTCCTTTGATGTCTCTCTTGCAGTCATTGCTCAGCTGCCTGTTGGTGTTTTACTTACTTTGAGGCTTTCCAGGCTCATCTTCTGGCTCCCTTGCTCTGAATTTTGCTGGCAGCCATGGCTATGTTCTGGGCTAGGCTGTGTGCATCCTGGGCTTGCTGATTGAGTGTTGGGTAGTTTTGACAGAGCTTGGGAACCACCTTGTGCAAAGAGAGATTTGGGTTTTTTCTGTAAGTCAGCTTCTCCCCTTCCCACCTGTTGTGGGAACTTTTTTGGCTGGAAAAGATAGGGCAGAGTGAGGCATGAAGAGAGAAAAAGACATGAGGGCTCACACCTTTGCTGTGTGGGCAGACTCGATGTTGTTGGAGCTATAGAAGGATTTCTGTGGATGTAAATGCCTCTTCTGTGGTGTCTGGGTCCTGGAGAGAGGGGGAGAAGGGAACATCATGGACAGAAGTCTGGGAGAGAAAAGCAAGAAGCAGCTGCTCCCTACTCCTAGCTCCCAAGGAGATGCTGTGGTGGCACTGGAGATGGAGCAGTAGGAGGGGCAGGAAATGCTTCCATCTTTGTGCAGGAATTACTTTTTACCTGCCACACTCATATCCCAAAATAGTCACATGTAGTTGAAAGAGATGGAGGCAAAACCCAGGCAGCAGAATTGGGAGCTGGTGAATGGTGGGGTAGGGAAAGGGGAAGAAGGATCCACCATGGCCATGCCCTGCTGGAGGGACAGCCTGGACATGTCCCCTGTCCTGCAGAGTGGATGTGGGACTGCTGGGCCAGTGCACATGGTTGTAATTTCCTGACAGAGCCATCTTCCTCTTCCCTCCTCATGCTGCAGTGAAACAACTCAGCTCTCTTCTTTTCTCCCTGTGCCTTCCCCTCTGAGGCTGGGTTAAATCCCTGGCCTACCCTCGTTGCTTCTGCATGTCTCTTCTCATTTTTCCACTCAATGGCTCTCTTGTTTCCTTGTCAGTCTGTTTGCTCCTCATTATATTTTAGGAATTTCTTATTTATCTTTGCTTTCCTGCTATTTTTGCTTTGCCCACTGCTGCACTGCTGTTTCTCTGTGACCCAGTCTGGCTGTTTACACCCTCTCCCTTACAGATGTCTGCATTGTTCCAATCTTCCTCTGCTATTTCTATCTCATTGGGAACCTCTGTGTTCATGGTCTCTGCAGGCATGGTTTGCTGCCCTCTCCCAAAATTTCTCAGTATTTAAGGGATACAGGAAGGTGTTGTTTCCTCTCCTGTGCTTCTCTGTGGGGCATGGATTACATCCATCCTGAACCTGTGAGTGAGGAGTCCCTTGCCCAGCAGTGGGGCCCTGGATTAGTTCACACAATAACTACATTGTACGACATTACAGCACATTACACACATTTGTGATGTGTGTGCACATCACAAACTGCAGGGATGGAAAAGCTGAGCAGGTTTTCTCCATGGTCACTTGGTAGAGGCAGCTCTTACTCACAGGCACCAGTGGTCACCTGGGAAGTGTTGGTGAAGTGCCAGGTGACATCTCAGCTGCTGCCTGTGCAGAGCACCTGGGCTGTGGCTCAGTTGCTGTGCTGTGCTCCCTGGGCTGCCCTGGAGCTGTGCTGGGAAGCAAAGTCTGGGTGTGTGAGTGAGCCTGGGCTGTGGGAGGATGAGGGACTGTTGGAGGTGAGGCTGTGCTGGAATGTGCCCTGGCCTTCAGCTCTGAGGGGCTCCTGGGGAGGGCCCATCCTGCCCTTTTCTTCCAGGGAGGAAGGGAGCTGTGGGGCCAGCTGGGACTCAGCTGAGAGCTGTCGTTTGTTCACTGCCTGCCTAAAGAGGAGACAGTGGTGTTTAGACTTTCCAGCTGGGAAAGCACTTTGAAAACTCACTTGAGGAAAAACTGCTGCATTTAGTTGGTTATTTTCAGTCTTTGGGAGTTATAGTCAATAGATAGTGTCTCTGGGACTCCCTTTATTTTTTTGGATGCATTCTTGAAGAGCCACAGCTCTGTGGTGGTGAGGAGAGGATGTGCTCACAGGGACATGGCTGCATGGCTTTGGGAGCTCCTTTTTGAGCCTTGGCTCATGGTCCAAGACCACAATTCCCACATGAGAGAGAATAAAACAATGCAACCCACAGTGCTAATGCGTTAAAGAGACTTGTCTGACTGCTACCAACTTTAACTGGCAGGGACAAGGAAGAGAAAAGCGTGATTTTGAAAAAAAAATTCAATTTAATATCTTTTTCCAGACAGGTGTGGCTAGTTTGACACCTGGTCACTGACTGTTCCCATAGAAGAGTCTGGAAGTCTTTTCTGAGATGCTCATATGCCTGTGTGGTTTGCTCTGGGCTCTGGGATGTGCTCAGGGAAGGTGTTTGGGCTGGGTCTGTGCTCTCATTCTCCATGAGAATTCCAGTCATGTTTAGGGGAGTTACAAACTGGAACAAACAGTCTCCTTCCTGCTGCTCACATTCCATAGGACATTCTTGGCACCAGGACAGGTCCTGAATAAACCCAGGGTAAGAGGGGGGCCAGGGCCCTGTGGGGGCAGGGACAGGGCAGAGGCAGCAGCTCCTCTCACCTGATCAGGTGTTTGCACTGTGCCAGGCTCTGGGGTGGGCTGTGTTCAGTGGGTGGTGTCCAGTGACATGTCCCAGGTTGGGGACACAGCTACAGAAGCACAGAATCACAGAGGGCAGGGCTGGATGAGATCTTGGGAATTGGGAATTGTTCCCTGGCAGGGTGGGCAGGCCCTGGCACAGGGTGCCCAGAGCAGCTGTGGCTGCCCCTGGATGCCAAGGCCAGGATGGACACTGGGGCTGGGAGCAGCCTGGGACAGTGGGAGGTGTCCCTGCCCATGGCAAGGTGATCTTTAGAGGTCCCTTCCAACCCTAACCCATCTGGGACTCTGATTCTGTGGCTGCAACATTCAGCCTGTTGGAGAGTGGTGCCATCCTTTTCTGCAGAAAAGAGGAGCTTATGTACAGGAGCATCCTCAGAGTAACCATAACTGGCTTGCAGAGCTTGAAGGGGAGCTGAGTTTTAGGGTTGCCCATGAAGTTCCCCTGAGTGTGTGTAGGTACTGGAGCTTTGCTCTGCCTGCTCCCTGCTGCTCTTTCTTACAGTGCTCTCCCTCTTCAGACTAGCCCAGGGCAGAACTCAGGTTGCTCTGGCAAATGTTTATATGACACTTGCCTCATTTCACCTCAGCAAAGGCCTTTCAATACCAAAATACCAAATGTTAACAGAGACAGCAGGTAGTGCTCCCAGTCCATGGTGGTTCTAAGCCCTTTGCCTGGCTGAGCCTGGGGTCACTCCCCAGAGGACTTTGGAATTCTGTAGGCAGGCAGGAAGCAGAAGGACAGAAAGAAAGTGATTTGCCAGAGGCAACAAATGGGTGAGTGTCAGTGGAATAAAGTGCAGGTCCCTGGGCTTGCAGCCCAGTTAGTGCTGGGCACAACGCTTGGATTGCAGTTCTGTGCCCTGGGAAAGAAACCAGAAAATGCACAGGGAAGTGGGCAGGGAAGGACTGCTAAAAGCTGAAGGTACCTCAAAATACAGCTGATGTATTAACTTCAGGTATGTCTGGTTAGGGTCTGCAACTTCATGAGTGTTCTTCTTCCAGGGGAGAATTCCAGAGACTCGGGGAGCAGTGCTGATTGATATTCTAGGGGAGAGCCCTGCCATGCCTGAGTTCTTTAAATAAAGCACTGTTAAAAGTGGGAAGAATCAGGATGTGGTGCTTTCAGGAGCCTTGATCTCCAGCATGTCAGTCAGGCTGGCTGAATCAGGACAGCTTGCTGACAGTGGGGGTTGAGTGTGATTTTTCCC